GAAAATGACTACGACAAACTTCAGAAATAAGCAGAATTCAGAAAACGACTCAGAAACCCCCCCCGTCCATCCTCTTTACCTCACTCCGGTAAGACTTACTGCAGCAGAGCAACCATCTCCGGTGCTGCTATACCCTATTCCCATCCTACGAGTTAGACCCCTCACTAGTAGGACACGTGATATCCCACCATCTCCTTCTCCCACTCACCTCGTTCTCCTTTTGAGATACCTAAGAACACTAGCAGTAATTCAGGAGGCCTGGGAATAGATCGCGGAGGTCCTACAAATGCTCCGAAAACCTCGAAATCCCTAACAAACCCTTCCAAAGTGCTCCAAAACTATTTTACTTCCTGCCAAGCTCTTCCAGGCCTCACACCCCCATATCCTGCTGGGTTACAGAGCAACACAACTCACCCCAGCTCCGACCAGCGTCATCCCGGCAGCAACCCTTGGTTGTCCCGTGGAATGCCCACCCCAAAGCATCCCCAGATCTCTCTATCAGGCCTCACGCTCCTGGAGCAGCAGGTTACAGGGCAACACCCCAGCACCTGCCAGCGTCATACTGGCATCGAACAGCCGCACATCACTAAGTATAACATACTTTGACGCCACCTAGGACGAGTTGATAAGAATCCCGAAGTCCAAAAGACATTCTAAGGACCACCAAACGGCCAACATTTTTTTAAAACTTTCCTCATAAGATAGAGTAAATTTTGAAAAAACGAAAAAGCTAGGAAAAATATGAGAGCGAGGGGTCGAATGAAACTGCCTACTTTCCTAAGCTCCCCCTTTCAACAGTCGGAACGTCGGTCCAGGCTTTCAGTCCTCGTACCAGAACTCACTTGATCTCATACCCCCTTCTGCTAGGGTAACAGGGCACCACAACCCCCCCCCGTACCGACCAACCTAGTTCTGACGAACAGGAAGTGCCTTCCTCCCTCGACAGTTCCCTTAGCGGCAAGCCCCTAAACATGTTCAAGGTCAATACCCCGGCGTCGGTTACGTCGGACAATCTGGTTATGCCTTCCACCCTCGGTATAACTCCACAGGACTCAAGCTCCCCCTAGGTCATAGAGCAAAAGCTCCAACACCAGCCTGTGTCGTCCTAGCATCGTCCTTCTAACCTATTTACCTTAACAAACAACCTTCCTCTGTTGAGAGCCCCCAACCTCCAATTCTAGCTTCCCCCCCTTTCCCTCCTTTTTTGAGATAACAGGGTCACCCAGGACTCTACAACGCATATAGGCTCACTGTGTGGTCATCGAAGTTACTCCTTCCCTCAAAAAGCAAGATCTTCACACCCTGCTATAAGCAGCCACCCCCTTGTCTTTTCTCCCCAACCTCCAGTGCTGATCCAACCCTAAATCAGTCTGGCCCAGAAAAAGACAATCCCTCAATACCGCCTACCCCCTCCAAGGATAACACGTCCCACCTTATGAAACCCCCACGGGGAGGGGCTCCAACCCTGAAGGAAAACCCCACCGATACACAAAGCAAGCCGCAAATATACCGTACAAAGACCCAGGCAAGCTTTGAAATACCATTTAACAAAAAAAGCCAATCCAAATCAGAGTTTATCGTAATAGTAATCAAGACCAGAAGGTTAAGATTTGCAAACATAGGTTTTCTCGATAAAAAAAAATTGAAAGCATACTTTTAGAAATTGAAAATCAGAAACGGAAATTAGGAAACCTCTCTAAAACATCTTTTGGAAATTAAGGTTTACAAACGAAATTTAAGAAATCTATCTAAGATGTCCAATATTGGACTCACGAATCCGAAATCAAGAAAATAGTCCTGATCGTAGTTAAGATCATTGTTAAGGAAGCAACTATGTGGCAAAGAAGATACTCTTGAATAGGAATTTCACGAAAAATCACTACGAATGATAGTCAAGAAATATCAAGAAACAAATACTATAGAAATACTCTCGAAAAAGTGATCAGCAAAAACATGTTGATCATCAAACGGAAACACGTGAAAACAAGGACAAGATCATACCCGTGGAGAAAAAAAGGACAGTCGAGAATCATGAATTGAACTCACAGGTTATTATCAGTGGAAGATCAACAGGATAAAAAAGTTTGGTTATGAGGATATTAGTAGATTTCAAATTATAAAACAGCTAAGCCACACATGGGTTAAATTCCAAATCAACAAAACAGCCTCCTATCCCTTCTTCCTCAACCCACCACTTACCTCCCACCCCTCAAACCCTACCCCTGCGTCTTTGGGGAAGGAAAGACTCCCCTCCTCCCTTTGCTAGATTCTAGGCTCACGACAAAACTAACAGCAAAGACTTGAACAGCCATCTTCAAATTCCTACCTGAAAACGAAAACAGTGTGGCACCCCCTCGCCAAACCTGTTGACGAGTCGCCACAGGGGGTTCAAAAACACCCTAGCTATACACTTACCATACGGTTGAGGAAGCGGGAAGGGTTTCGCCCACCGCGTCACCTCATCCACACAACCATAGCTTACTTAGGTAGGCTTACCTTCTGGGCGATAGAATAGGTGGACACAAGTCGAGCAGATCGTTAAGCTCAATCCTCATGGCGGCAACATGGATCACAGCTGGAGAAGAAAACGAAGACCGAAGATTCGTCGCAGCAGCCTTCCTCCCTCATGTGCTTCTGATTACACGATCCCTGACTCGCAGCAGCAGCCTTCCCTCCTCATAGCACCTACCCTTCCCACCTTCCGCCGCCGGTCGGCCCTCTCCCCGCCAACCTTCACGCAGCAAGGAGCCGACTATGTAGGTGTACCTTTCTTCATGCCATCGCCTGCCACCGCGCCACTCCTCCAGCGTCGTCCTACCGCCCCTCTACCCGCCGCCTGTACCAGCATGCGAAAGCACCCCACATCAGCCAGGCAGTCCCAGTCCGGGCGGGCACAGCACTCCCGGTAGCGCTGCACCCGCCCACCTGCCCGGTCGGCTCAGCCGGTCTGACGGCATCCTCAAAGTAGGACTTTTTCAATTATTTCTGGACGGAATTGCGGGCAGATGCATACAGATGTGGCCAAAATTGCGGTTCTGATGCATTTGGAAAATGCTGCCTTCTTCCCCCGAATACCAAATACGTTCACCACAGCTGTATTTAGACTGAAAGATACCCCAAATTCAGCTATAATGACTGTACTTCGTATTCGGCGGAAGACTGTGTGAGCATGCCCTGAGTCGGAATTCCCCCTATTCAGAAGCAGACATCAGCACGAAACACAATTAAAAAAAAAAAAAAAAAAAAAAAAAAAGAAGAAGAAGTACACATCAGCTTGACAAGGTGTCAGGCCACGGCCTGGTCCCATCAGCAAAGAGGATTGGATTTAATTCCTGAATCTGGACGCGCTTGTGGAGAGATGCTGAAAAATGAGATTGAGCTGTTTTTCTGCATCTCTGCACACAACGCATCCAGATTCAGAAATGAAATCGAATCCTCTTTGCTGATGGGACCAGGCCCCTGGCTGCTGCAGCCAGTTGCAGGCTTGTAGTGAAATGGGAAAGACCTGTGACAAGCACACAAGGAAGGTTAAAAAAAAAAAAAGAAGTTCCTTTTCCATTGGCCTCACGTGCTGGACACCGGGTTCAACAACATCCCATAACGATATGATGATTGCTGACAAAGTTGATCCCCCCCCCCCCCCCCCCCCCCCCCCAAAAAAAAAAAAAAAGAAGAAGAAGATACCACTCAACACCCTCTCATTTAGCCAGACTTGTCCTATGGGTTGGGGTCCCGGCCAACTATTCCGAGAGACAGGGGGGATGACTACAGCCCTCTGCGGCGAGGTCCCACGTGACCGGAATTACTCATTTCCGACCATCGATCTTCGTAATCATCCGCTGGGGCTAGGACCCACTACATTCCCCCCCCCCGGGAATACAATGCACGGTCATTATAGCTGAATTTGGGGTATCTTTCAGTCGAAATACAGCTATAATGAACATACGTTGTACTCGGGGGAAGAAGGTAGCCAAGTAATACCCTGACTCCGTCAGGATTTCGATCACGTGCGGCCTCAAGTGACGCAGTACGGCCGTCGATGACATCAGATTTCAACGGCCTGGTCGTTTCTGAGCGGGGGCTGTAAAGATGCCCATCTCCCGTTCAATGAGATGTGTCGAAAAACAAATTTGGACATTATAGCCCCCTCTTTTTCATGGGCGGGAAGTCTCCATTTCATGCAATTGAATGGAGAGAGGGGGGGGGAGATTTTGAGACTTCGGTTTTTTTTTTTTTTTTTTTTTTTTTTTTTTTTTTTTGTTTGAGGGGGGCTGGGGTTGCGCCACCCCATGGCGCTTCCCAAATCCTCAACCCCCCTCCCCACTGGCCGCCACGCGGTCTCAAAGCCGCGCGGCCGCTCGGACACGTCCGCGGGGTCGCGGACCTGGCCACGGCCGCCTCCGGGGGGGATTGATAGATAACGAAGTGATCCCCTGGTGCACTGTGTGATCGACACGTGGATGGCTGAAGTGAGGAAGGGGTTTTCTTTTTTTTTTAAAGAAAAAAAAAATGCGGGGCTATTGTGCCCGCATTGAGGTAAATTTCACAGTCAGATACAAAAATGGCAAAATGGGGTTCAGAGCAAGGAAAAAAAGCAAAAAAAAGTATTTAAAAAAAAAAAGCGCAAAGAATCCCGATCCTTTATATATTTCAGTCCAGAGGTTACGGACGCAATTCAATTAGCAAAGAGGGATTGGATTAAGCGCCTGAATTTAGACCGGCTTTATGTAGAGATGCAGAAAGGCAGATCAATCGCAATTATCTGTATCTCTCCACAAACACGTCCAAATTCAGGCCTGAAAGCAAATCCAGTCCAATCCTCTTTGTTAGTGGCACAGCGTCGTAGGAAACATCCATGCGGAAGATCTCCAAATCGCTTCCCCCATCCCCTCCCCATCCATGCAGAAGATCTCCGCATCGCTTCCCCCATCCCCTCCCCGCCCCCAAACCGTTCGTCGTATTCTTCCGCTTCCCCCTTAATATGGCCGACAACTCGGCCTTTTCTCCGAACCGTTTTATTCTGCTTCGCTTCACCTCGTGCCCCCACCACCACCTCTTTCTCCTCCCGCCTTCCCCAATTCCGACCTCCCTCTATCCCAATCCGGCTTCTTGCTCGTCTCGATGTCTGCTCCGATGCCACTTCCCTCTAACCAGGCCTCGATCCTCCCACCTTCCCTGATCCCGATCTCCCTCTCTTTCTGCTCCCGCCTCCCCAATCCCGACCTCCCTCTACCACAATCCAGCTTCTTGCTCATCCCGATGTCTACTTCGATGCTGCTTCCCACTGACCCGGCATCGATCCACTTTCCCTGATCCCGATCTCCCTCTATCCCGATCCTCCTCCCCGGCCCTCGATCCTCCCACATTCCCCGATCCCGATATCTCCCTATCCCAAACCTGCTCCCGGTCTGGCACCTCTTTCAGCTCCCCGATCGCTCTCTATCCCGATCCTGCTCCCCGGGCCTCGATCCTCCCACCTCCCTCGACCCCGATCTCCCCCTATCCCGATCCTGCTCCCCGATGTGGCACATCTTTTTGATCCCGCCTTCACCGATCCTGACCTCCCTGTATCGTGATCCTGCTTCTCCCTCATCTCGACGAGTGAAGCCCTTGCATCCCTCCTCTACATCCTTCCTTCTCTTCTTGAGGACTATTAGGGGATCTTCGTCGACCCCTTCATGAACATCGCCACTTCCCTGCCCCCGCCCTGTCTTGTCCACAAACATCATCAGCATGATCACGATCACCGTACGGCGTACGCCCCCCCTCCGCTTCCCGTACCCTGTCGCACACACACACACACACAGGGGATCTTCGTNCGGTTTACCGTCGGCAGCTCTGTCTGATGATATATATATAAAATATATATATATATATATATATATATATATATATATTTATATATATATATATATCGTCACAAACAGAACTGCCCGGTAAACCGTACAGTTTTATTTTTCTTTATTTTTTGGTATATATACTTTTACATTTCCAGTTGACCTGCTACATATATGTACGGCCACATGATCATGAACAGGAAATGCATTTAATATATATATATATAATATGGCATAATGGGATATATATTTGACGATATATATGCATATATATTTGTAAAATAAAAAGACGTGGAAAGATAGCAGACAAGAAGCAGAACAAGGCACAAAAAAAAAAAAAAGGTAGGACTTTTTTTTTTCGTTTTTTTTTTCAAAGGAGGAAGCCGAGGGAGAAAAAAACTGACGCCTTATTTTCTTTTTTTTTTTGCCTTTTTCTCAACGGAAAAAGAAGGTAAAAATGCCAGCTTGCCTCCTTTTTTTTTTTCCTTTCTTTTCCCAGGCCCAATTGTCTCCACGTTTGTCTGTCTCCGTGGGGAACGAGAACATACGTGTCAGCTGCTATAGCACTCGTGCCACATACGCTCATGTCACATATTGAGTACGACGATGGATAAGACCAAAAAAAAAAAAGAAAAAAAAAAGGAAGCCGGACAAGGCAACATCGTTAGTCTAGCAAGGGTGCAAGGTCCCACACCGACAGGGGAAAAAGGTGTCCACCCATTTGAAAGAAAAAAAAAAAAGGGTGTCCACCCATTTGAAAGAAAAAAAAGAAAAAAAAAAAGGTGTCCACCCATAGATGACGAAGAGCGACATCCACCACGATCTCTAAATCCATACCCAAAAAAAAAAAAAAGAAAAAAAAAAGGGTAAGAATTTAAGAAATTGCTAAGAAATTTATACTGCAGGCAAAGTACAGAAGTCCGGGGGCCAAGTCCCACCGACCCCAATTCGCAATTCGCAATTCATGATCGTAGATTACCGAGATGGACGGCCAGATACGATGAATCAGCATAAGTGGGGCTTAGCCCCGGGATAAACCAGACCGGTGAGCCTGGCTTATCCCAATTTGCCTGCAGCATATGATGTGAGGGACGTTGGGCCCCGGTTCCCAGCTTGTAATAAACCTTTTTTTTTTTTTTTTTTTTTTTGGAAAAAAAAAAAAAAAAAAAAAAAAAAAAAACAGGTTAACAGAAAAGTCTATCAGAAACCTATACCCAATATCGCGGTTGGTGAGAGGCGAACACGACGCCTTGGCCCCATAGATCTTCCTTCTCTATTCTTTTTCTTCGTTTTCTTTTTTTCTTTTTTCTTTTTTATTTTGAAAAAAGACACCGCCTTTTCTACTAGGGAGAGTGGTGCGAGCACCTCCCCCTACCGTCTTCCCCCGAACATAACGCACCCTAAAAAAGTTGATGTATACAAGCTACGTCTCCGTCCCGGTACAGTCAACATGAGGGTGCATTGTGTTCGGGGGAAGACGGTAGTAGTCACAACAGATCCAATCAATTGGTGGGGAGCAGCACCTGCTGGGAACCGGCCCACCAATTCGGACTGCAAGCTCAGCAAACAATTGAAGAGGAGATCAGATGCCGTACACACGAAGTCTGGAAATCCTTCACACGGGACTACCGGGAGGAGAAGGACCCCATTTACTTAAGGAAGCCATACAGGAGTCCTATCACCAGCTCTGACAGGGACCCACACCCACATCAAATCTTTTCTGATTTGGGCACCAGGCTCAACATTCAGCGGAAGCTGTCGAGAGGGACAGAGCCCTCGTGGCAAAGAAGACCCTTCCGGTGCTTCCACTGTTTTGAGTTTCCCTACCTTCAACCTAACTTGTTCTTGTAGCAGACCACGCGTCAGTCTCTCCTTCGGCCCCCTGCCAACACCCACCCCAGACACCCCCCACCTGAGCCACGCAGCCACCCCCATTCCCCAACGACATTGCACCCCCTCCCCCCAAATGGAGGGTTGAATGACCCCACTGCGGCCATGGTAACAGGGATCATCGGTCACCCCTTGTTTTGTTTTTCTGTAGTAGCAGTGGGCACTTTTGGGGTTTGGGTTCACCCTGCTATTTTCCTTTCCTTTTCTCTCTTTTTCTTTTGGAAAATTTTGCGTTATACACCTCAAAGACTCTACATGAAGGTTTTGAACTTCATTTGATGAAATAAAGTTCTTTGCTGGTCTGCAGTCAAGCAGGACCTTCGTTCTGGTTCTGTTAATTTAAGGCTTGAACATGACCTGATGTTTTCTTCTTCTTCTTCTTCAACTGGTGATGAAGAGAACATAGATGGTTATGGTCCTCCTCTGATACAGATTCATCAATAAAGGGTTTAATGTATGCGAACATTGAGCCCTTCGCAGCCTCACAAAAAACAGGCTTAAATGTCGATTCCTCTCCTGATAGGGAGGAAGTAAGTTCATCAGAGTTGGCTACAGTCCCCCCTCCCCCCTCCCTCCGCCCTCAACCACCCCCTCCCAGGCCCCTTGCTGCTGCACCTCCCCACCCCAATTCCCTCCGCCCGGGATGGGGGGCGTCCATTGCCATTCCACTGGGGCGAAGGGGAAGTCTGAAATTGGGGTGTTGGGTCGAAAAGCCCAGCATGCTACTACCATAGTCCTTTGACTCCATTCCCTAGCAACCTGACTTGGTGGAGCAGCTGCTTATCAGTCCACTCAAGGGGACTACTGCTCCCTATCATTCATCAGCTGCACCTCTCTCCCAAAAACATAATGCCCCACCAGGACGTCATCTGGCCGTACCTGGTGGATCACCCTTACCCCGGTTGGTGACGTCATGAAGGTGCTTTTGTATACACCACTCCCCCTCTCTCACTCTGAGACTCCCTCTCAGTCTGTCACTCTTGCTATCAGTTTCGTTCTGGCTCTCTCTCT